TCAGGGACGTACAGGTCATGGACATTTTTCATTTGGCTTTCCATTATTTTGTTTAATCGGAAATAGTATGCATTATATTTTAACTACATGTTCTCCCCTATTTCTACAACTGCATGTGCACGCCACACTGCGTCCCACGGAGGCCGAGCGAGATTTGCCATACATCACCAGTTTGGTACCGTTCCCCGACCATCCAGTGCAATTTTTGGACGGCCTCGCTAGAAGGGTTGTCGGCCCACAGTTCCATGAGGTGGCACCAGCTAGTGGGGGAGATGACGGTAGCGATGCGGGTGATGGGCATGACAATAAGTCCGATACAGGGGCTGAGGACGTTGACACATCAGCAAGCGATGGCCATCACACACTGGAGGGCAACGGGGACGATGGGTCTAAGCCTGATGACAGTGGAGAAAACGATCTCGACCTCTCCAGCGAGAACGAAGTGGATGCCTCGGGATGGAAGTCGGGTGCATTACCCACTCCAATGGTTCTTCCGTCCACATCTGGGGTTCACGGTATGTGTGGTGGAGCGACTTTGACGAGGAAGGACGTGGAGGGCATGTTGTATGACCAGCGCATCCTCTTCGAGATGAGGTTGCGGAGCGTGAAACTTGAAATCATCCAGCACGTCACCAAGGAGTTCGCCAGACTGAGGGACTTTATATCTACCTTGGTACCCCCGTCTAGTGGCAACTCCACTTCCGCTGCAGCTCCGATAGTGAATGAGCCAAACCTTTGGGATGACCCCCATGAAGGTATGAGTTTATGTTACTGTTACTTCCATTTACAACATGTGTGCAATTTTTCCTATGCGATTGCTTACAAATGTATTTTTGAAATTGGCAAATTACTTAGATGTACATGGAGGTGACATGGACCTGTGCTCGGATGACGGTGGTCGTCCTTCCCCTATCGAGAACTTGGACGTGAATGGTATGTCCGTTAATTCTATGTAACACATTTTTGGTCTTCAATGTCATGTCATCTCGTGATATGCTAGTCTATTGAATTTGATTGTAATAATAATTTTATTTTTTGGTTTCCAAGTAGACGGGCAAGGCAGTGACGTACGGAGCCCACATGACGACGGTCGTGCTGAGGAGGCTGAAATGCAGGAGGGGAACGGTACGTGCGTAAATTTTGTATTTTATGTCATCTCATCTCCTGATATCTTTCTTGTCGTATTTTATTCGCCTTTACTTACTGTCTTCAATTTAAGTCGTTCAATAGTTTCTTATTTGTTTACGAGTAGCCGGGGAAGGCAGCAACAAACGGAGCACACATGACGACGACCATGCAGAGAGGGTGAAATGCATGCGGTGAACGATATGTCCGCTATTTTTTTCAACTTCTGTCGTCTCATTCGTCATACGCATATGTATTCAATTTCACTCATTTATTCATTTGTTCTCTGTCTTCCAACTAGACGGGGAAGGCGGAGACAAACAGAGCCCAGAGGCCGACGACCGTACGGAGGAAGGTTACATGCAGGACATGAACGGTACGTGCGTAATTTTTTCCAACTTCTATGATTTGGGTTTTATTACCAAACACTTCCCCCCCTACACAAATGATAATTCATATCTTGTGTTTGTCCATTTCACCCAATTTCCTTTGAACTAGACCCAGGAGAGACTGTCCCCACCCTCCCTAGGGACGACAACAAGGAAGGCCCATCGACCCATGACGTCACGGAGGTGGACGGTATGTGCTTTTTTTCCTTCAATAATCTTATTCCACGACTATGTGGCGTCGTTCACACAGAACCATTTCACTGAAGTGCTGAAATGTTTTATATGGGTGCTAACACAGAGTTGCCGACATAAGTGACCGTACCGGAGAAGAGAGGCAATGTGGGCAGCACAAATAGGCGACGATCGACTCATGTTCGATGTCCTGCACCACCTACCCGGACTCCATACACGAGGAAAAGGGCAAAGAGAGTAAAGAAATGAGTGTGTTCAAGTGGTTTGGTAAGGTCTAATGTAGTAGTAGATACGTTGTTGGTAAGAAAGACATGCTTTGAATTTGGTTTGATTTATGGACGGATACGTTTGCTCACCCATATGCTACACGTTAAATTGTCTTATGTACAATACATAAATGTTTAGTACAAGTATGGGATGGTATTGTCGGTACATTTTGTGTGTATGCATTGACGACATAATGCATTTACTGTTCCTGAAATATGCTACACGTTAAACTATCTTTTGTAGAGTACATATCATTTTGCTATAATACATGTTTAGTGCAAGCATGGGATGGTAGTATCGGTAAATTTTGTGTGTATGCATTGACGACACAATGCATGTCTTGTTCATGAAATGTGAAAGGGTACATCAACATCATAACTAAAATGAATATATCATCATTCTTATACGTCCCAATCATATGACTTGTCAACACGAACTGACGATTTTTCCTGTTAGAGTCCTCACAAAAATCTGCATGCCTACCCACAACGTCAGCACGAAGTGCAGAGTTGACTCTTGGTCTGGTGGGATTCCTTCCTTGTCCTAGATTGTAGCTTTAACATTATCGCTGGTGTCGGAGCTTTCACCTTCATGGGTTATTGTCTTCCCAGTAAGGGTTTTGACAATAATCCGCCTGCCACCACCAAGCCTTAACACGAAGTGGAGTGTGGACTCCTTATGAATTTTATAGTTGCCCGAACTACGGCCATTCGAAGCTGTTAACCAGCGAACATGAGCCTCTGTGTTGGTCTGGTGCCATACCTTCCTTGTCTTGTATGTTGACTTCACCATAATATTTATGGCCTGTAATGTTTATAATATGTGAAAGGGTTCATTTTTTGGTCATTAGATTGCCTGCACGTCTTCTACTCCATGGGTGAGTACATTTTTTGGTTCTTACGTTGATTGGATGGATAGTTACAAACTTGCTCTGCTCTATCATTTCAGTTTAGTGGACACCTGATGCAGGTAGGCAGCTGATTAATTCGGAGGGCTGATTTTTCAATTGAGCATGTGCTTTCATCGAGATGTGATGACGAATTTTTGTACAATGATGAAGAGGAATAGTTGATAGCACCAAATAACAGCCAAAGGGATCCAAACCTGGGTTCATGCCTGAAGGTGCAGCTATGGAGACGATTACATCGTATCACATATGATGTGGTTGATGATGTCAAGGGGGTTTATGAGATTATTTCAATTCCATATAGGGATATGGTTAAGTGGAACGCACATTGAGACATGACATTTGTTTGTACTCTAATTAATTTGATGTTCATGGTACTTCATGAAGTAGTACTATTCTGTAATTTCATTTCATTGAAGTTGAAGTTGTTGTATGTGCACAAATGAGTCATGGTATGAAATGATCTTGTGTGTAATAGAGTGTGGTCGAACGATCGAGGACAATGATTATTGTAAAATTTGCATTGCCGTAGAATGAAAAATTCAGTGTTATCTTTGCTACGTTGGCCCCAACATTACAACCGATTTATGTTTATTTCAACATGCGTTTTAGTATAAATTCGCTTGTTCGTAGAAAGTAAAGTTTATTTTAAAAATGGCTTGTAAAGTCATCCAATGTTCATCTTCATTGACAGGGACATTAATTTTATCAAATTTTCATGCAATTCTTATGATTTATAATTTAAAAATAGTATTCAATTGTGACTAAGGACTACAAAAATTATGTTAAGTAATGTAAGTACAAAGTCACTGCAGGAATGTTTCCATTGCAAGTATTGCACATTGGTACAATTTACTCATAATTCTCACCATTTATGGACTGCATTAAAGTACACTTACACCTCTAACCATCACACTAAACCATCATACCAATGGTCAATCAAGCGTTAAGAAGAAATGAAATGGTGGTTGGTTGGTAAATTGCTTTAAATGTCCTCGTATACCTCCAGTATAAAGCAAGGCTTGCACTCTTCAAGTGGGATATATGAAACTCTTTCTGAGGTATCTTGTAGCAGGAACGTATCAAGTATTTGAAGTCCATTTCTTCGTACGAAAATAATGGCATCGTCCATGGGAAGCAATTCATCGCTGCCACTTCAGGAGCCGAAGCCGACACCCGGTTCAACCCCGCTATGTCCCATCGTAATTTCTTCGGACGATGAGGAAGTGAGTTTGAATGGTGGTAGGAGAGCCATCACCGTCGTTCCCTTTCCGAACCTGGACAAAGTTGCAAGTGATGAAGGTGAGTCTCCGAGAAATGTGCTTGAATGGGTCGTCCCATTTATGGATGCAGACGAAGTTCAACATTACGAGGATGAGGGGCAAGGTCGCGTTCCATCGCCCGAGGTAATTGTCATCAGCTTGGATGATGATGGTGGGAAGAAGGTTCAAGTGTTAGCTCCGAGTGAAGAGTCCGGCTTTGTTGCGTGTGTGGGTTTCTATGTATGTATGTATAGTGGTTTTTTTGTAACGGATGGATTTTGTGACACTTAACCAATTTTGTAGCAAGTAGGAAACTACCGTTGGCAAGTTATATGTTTTTTGTATTTTGTTAAGCGGAGCGTCGCACAACTGTCGAGAATGGCTGGCACCATCTATCAGGAACAACAGATGAATAGTCGGGATTTACTGGCAAATTTTCTATGTATGTAGTATGCATATTCATATAACATGTAGTTTGGGTGAACGAACACAACCTAATGTGTACATTGAACGTAGTTTGTGAACTTTGCAGACAGTGTTGTGCGCTACAAATGATGTGTTCGTAATATGCATTTAAAAGGAAACTTGTATAATGGTTGAACTTTTCATATTCCGTACATTCTATTTACATGTGTCAACAATGGCAACAATATTATGCACAACAAAATTGTATTTTGGTTCGAGACAGTTATGCAGTGTGTTGTGCCTATTTGCGTTCTGTAAATATTAACATAACAAAGAGTAATGTTTACGCGTAAGAGAATGAAAACAATAATCCAATATTTACATTGTCATATACAAACAACATCGGGGGAACACTTCACTTACAACTTCAACCACTCATGTACAAAATGCTGCTTACATCGGACGTGCTACAGTGTGGTTCGAACATGTGGTTCGGTTATGACCAAGTCCACCGTAGCGAGTGCATTTCCTGAGCCGTGTGGTGTACTCGTATCTGGATCGCTTACGTCGTGTGGGTAGTCTACCTGGAGGACGACGCACACTAGGGGGCATAATAGGAGTACCTCTAATTTCGGGTAGAACATTCCTGTCCACTTCACGCTAAATAGGATATATAGCTTCTCCATAAGCACCCTTCCAGTACTCGGATGTGTAATACGGTGAGCAGAGATCCTACAATGACTTACCTCTCAAACAAGTAGCACGGGTTCCCTGAACGCATGGCATACGATTCAGCTGGAACTCACGACAAGTGCACGTCTTTTAGAAGAAGTCTACGATGTCCGTGTCGTTGAATATTCCAACTTGTGTTAAGTTATTTGTCAAGCCATGCACTCGCAGCCTAGTACCTGCTTCGAACGTTGTCTGTAACTCATTCTCCATCGTTGGTGACAGAACGGTACTGCATGCAGTTAAACTTGCTTGACGTTCATAAAACCACTTTTGCATAGTATGCCGAATGTGTTCCACTAAGCACATGATCGGTAACAAACGGGCATGTCTCAACATTGAGTTCAAAGATTCTGCGTTGTTGTTGGTCAAAATGTTGTACTGTTGGCCAACAAATAGTGCACGTGACCAAAATGGGAAACCTGCTCGCTCCAAGTACCCGTACGCTCTTGCACTAACCCTACGAAACTGTCACATAAGTCTTTCAAACTCTTCGGTCCGGTAAGTTCTTGTGGCTCTTTTGAATAGAAATATTGAACTTGCGTTGTTGTACCGCTGGATTAAATTCTTTTCCATATGCCAAACAAAGCACCCGTGGTGAGCCCCGATGAAATAGGTGAGCAATGACATTTTCAATACTATTTTTCCTGTCGAAAACAAACACCAATTCGTCCAAGTCACCTATAAGATCTTTCAAATTTGATAAAAATCACATCCACGATCTATTCGTTTTGGCATCAACAATCACCCACGCTAACGGATAAATTTGTTTGTTGGCGTCTTGGGCAGTTGCCAGTAGAAGGGTACCTTTGTACGGACCTTTCAAGTGATTGTCGTCAACACAAATAACGGGCCTGATGTAGTGCAAGTAACACCGAATGCTTGCACCGAAAGCTAGGAAAAGGTAGTGAAACCTGTTACGAGAATCTACTTTGATGTGTGTTACTGTCCCCGGGTTACTCTCTCCTTGGACGTGACAGTACGAAGAAAGTTTTTGAAAGCTATCACCCGATGTACCATGTAGCAAATGTAAAGCAGTGACCTTTCCCCTACGTGCTTGATGGTAACTAATTTTCACACCAAACTCACGTTCCACGTCACGAGCAATAGCAGTAGGATCATACGATCCGTACGTATTATCCAATTTCCCCATAATCTGCTCAGCAATTACGGAACTAGTGGCATGTTGATATGCATTACGACGATAATCTATGGAACATGTGTGCAAATTGTTGAATTTGTGGATCATGAAGATGGCGGACTGCTTCACACTCGAAGCACGTAACATCCACTTACAGTTATCGTCAGTACATACAATGGTTAACATTTTTTGGCTTGACCTGCTAATCTAAAATTGAAACTTCTCTTTCAACGCAAGTAGACAAATTCTCGAGTACAACTCTTTTTTGGTAAAAAATATTTCCCTTTTGGTAAGATCCAGCGTATTCACAGTGGAAATCCAGTCGCATGTATCCGAACTTTTGGAATGTGATAATAGTTCTTAGTCAACGTCAGCAATATTAGCAGTATGTGTACCATGTAAGGGATCGTCAAACATCTCATGTAATAGTGCAGTCCGAACATCGAAAATTGAAGTATCCGCTGCATTATTGTTTGGGACACTTTGTTGATGATTGAGCTTGTCGTCCTGTACGGTTTGGTAATCTTCCGCTGCGGCGAACAATTGTTGGCTGTAATTTGTATCCCTCTCCATTTCAACACTTGGCAGGCCGGTTTCCAAAGTCGTAACGCAGAGGGTAGTTTCCTTATGAACTGATATGTACCAATTTACGTCTTCATCTTCGAGTATTTCAGCCGGCGGTATATTCATGTTCGGAACTTTGAACTTCAATTCCAATTTTGTGCGCAGATCGAAAACACCAAGTTTGTCGTTCAACCGTAACAATAGCTCATGTAGTGTGATACTGCTCGGCACAAAAATGGAAGTGGTTTTGTCCCCAGTCCACTTCCATTCGTCATTCACGTAAACAAACTTTCCTCCGGGCGACACGATGAATCTCAAATTATTGTTCATACCTGAAATGTTGGGAATGCAACGATAAGAATTATGCGCAATCTAAATGTCGACTATATAATAGCATGGAAGTGACACATTCCAATATTTAAACCTATGCAATACTACAAGGTCAAATTAAGGGTGTCAAGAATTTTCAGCTGTCCAATTCGACAGTTTACTTATCTATCCCGGCAGTTTATAAATGTCGATCCCGACAGTTTCGAAATGTCGAGTTCAACGGTTCAAGTGTCGGAACTGCCGAGAAGTTTCAAATGTGTTTGGTAGCATTAATACTTATAATCATTTCTCAACTACAATATCACAATCTATTTCCAGTAATAAATGACTGAATGCTTCATTAAATATGGAATACTTCACATTTTCCAAAAAAAATTTGGTATGTTTTTCCTTCAAGAATATTAAAAAAAAAGACCATCATGTTGTTTTTCACATTCTAAAAAAAAGTAAGCTATTACATAGAAATATAAACAATTCGTAACAACTGACTTTTCAAGATAGATGAAGAAGATGGATAAAGTAATGTCTTTTTCAGGAAGAAGAAAATGGATGAAGAATATGAATGAAATAAGGGTTTCTTTCACAATAATTTTTTTTTTCATGTTAACTAGGGTTTTGAAGGATTTTATATTCATTTTTTATTAATTAAATTCGTATTTTACAATATAATATTCATATTTTCAATGATTATAATATACAAATTAAACAATCAAATCACAACATTAATTATTTTGAAAAGCAATCATGAAAGAGCATTAAATGCTCCAAAAAGTCAAATTAAGGGTAATTTAGACATTTGACAACAAGAAAGTGACATTTTTGTACAAATTGTATGCACATCAAAGTTTTTTGTACATTTTCAAAAAAAATGACACTGGTAAATTCCCCATAAATAAAATCATGTTAGGAAAGCCATTTTCGAAAACATCGTATAGAAGTATTATGTATTAAAACTTAACGAATAAATTATAAGGCTTTATAAATACATGGCGTTTAGAAAATAAAAGTTTTTACTTTGTCGATGAATTAATAACTCATAGGTCGTCACCTAGTGCAACATCATATGTCCTATCATTCGAGAACTCGTGCCAACATTTTTATACTACGCCTACCTAAAATGTCGTTAATAGTAGAATAAACAAACACTAGTCCAGTGAGTAAAATATCGTGTAAATGTGTTTTATTGCATGTTCAGAATATGCATTTCACTTCCATGTCTACAAGTTCAAGAATGCAAGACGAGCACAAGTATGCGCTCTCTATAGTTCTCATACCCCACCCCAGTCACTCGATAACAATAACGATTAATAAGTAAACAAGATATCACCGACGTTTCGTCGGATAAAAGTGACCGACCATAATAGATCAACAATGATTGTAAGCACAAGTAGGGGTGGAGCCAAGATTTTAGTTCAGTGTGGGCAAAGATTTTTCGACGTCGAACGTTGAGGTTCGAACTTAATCTTGGATGTTAGCATTGTAATCCAAAATTGGTATATCCTTAGTCCAGGATCAGTTGGAAGTTTTGTGACATCAAATTCTATATTATTCGATATCCTCTTATAAACATTAGCTACATTCCTTTTTATTTGAAAGTATATCTTCGTTGTTATTTGGATTTAATCATTTGATATCCAATTACTACTGAGAATGGGAGTAATTTAGAATGACAAAAGAATCACAAAAACTAGAAGCAACTCGCAAAATCCAGTGCAATTCACAATTTCACATAATCGATGTATACTATTTCCAAAATCTAGTAAGGCAGTAACAGAATAAGCAACTCACAATCACAGACGGCTAGAGGAAAAAATGAACTGGAAGTCTATCTCACTATCAGATAGCAAAATCAATTGAAGAGCAATATGTAGGAAGTGCCGCTTCGTGCAATTGAAGAACAAAGTGCTAATTTCATATGTTAAAAAATATATATTATTACAATTTACACAAATAAAAAAAACAAAAAAGAAGGAAAAAAAAGCTTCAAAATCAGGATTGGTGGAAAATTGGAAATTGGAGCTTTACCTTCTTCTTTTATTGGCTGCCTATTGCTGGAACTTAGAAGAATTGCTAGCGGCCGGTTGGCTTTTCAGTTGCCTTGGCCCTCGAAGGTTAAGGAGCGACGAAGCTGCCTCTATGGTCCTCACTCCTACGAAGGTTACGAACGGTCCGATCTGTTCGAAGGGAGCAACGCCTCTTATGGAGCAAGTTTGATCGGTGGACTGAGGAGGAGGAGGTTAAGTCGGAGACGGGCGGAGAGTGAAGTGCGAATGGTTGAAATTGAATGAATCGAAATGCAATTGATTCAATTAAATGGGTCATGAGGTGTTGATTGGGCTAATGCGTTACTGGGCTAGTGGGCTTCTCTCAACTGGATAGGGAAAAGGAAATTAAACTAAAAAAAAAAATGTTTGGTCCCATGAGAATGGGCTCAAAAGTTCAGTGCATATATATCATTGGGCTTCGCCCCTGAGCACAAGTTAACCCTCACCCAAATTTCATAAGGGAATCAATATGACTTAGTCTATTATTATTATTATTATTATTATTATTATTTTCTTTTATGTCTTTATATAATTTTTTCTTTCTTCTTCTATAATCATATGTCTGTGGTGTATGTAAATTTGAACAAAAAGAATAATTTAATTTCTTTATTTGTTTTCTATCTACTTCTTCTATATGGTATTCTTTTAGTTTATCAATTATAAATTTTATAGTGGTGCTAATACTCACTTCTCTTGTTTGTGCTGATTCTACATCGTTTCTAATCTTATTATTCCATAGTGATAATATTTTTCTATATAATAAAAATGGTTGCATATACTTCATATTACTAATGCTTAATTTTTCTAAGGCTCTATTTTGTTCATAAGTGTTGTCTCTACTGGGGTCAGATCCTATAACCAGTTCTTTAATAAAATTTGTAAACTTTCTACGATTATCTCCTCCGACCATTCTTAATCTAATTTCTTCCAACTTTTGTCGTTTAGCTGTAACATAAATGTATAATGTTGTGTTTCCTAAATAAATTTCTAAATAAGCCAAACATTTCTTCTATAGTCATCTGTATAGGTACACTATTATATGCTCTAATTATATAATTTTCTCATTTAGTTATAGTACAAGGTCTATCTTAGATTTACAATTATTTAATTATAAGATTAATCCACTGTCATTTGCTAATGGTAAAATACATCCTTCTTCTAACTGCCTTTTTCATAGGCTTTTATATTTTTTGTCTACCAGTCATGTACTTTTGCAGGGGAACTTATATTTTCCTCCTATATCGTATTTTTTGTTGATGGATTCTTTTCTTTTTCCAAATTATTGGCCTATTTTTACTTTACCTTCGCTGCTTTCTTCCATCTTTCTATAATTTTTTTGATATTTTCTTACTAACATTTTAATTTCTATTTCTCTAGTTTTCTAAAATTTCTATAATATTCCATATCTATATATTCAAATTCTTTTTTAGCGTCTTCACTTTTGTCTTCTTAATTATCTTCGTCTTATGCATTAAATTTATCTTCACTTTTGTAGTCTTCTATTACTAAGTATCAACATTCTCCTTCATTTTCTTCTTCATTTTGCTTTGTTTGTTCACTTGATAATTATAATTTTCAAATCTAATACTTAATATTGTATTACTATTTCTGTACGTGATATTATCTTCTTATGTTAATATTGGTCTTTCTAAAAAATTTCCTAGATTTCAATCCAATCCTGCATTTGTTTTCAAGGATTTTTTTTTTTTTTTTTTTTTTTTTTTTTTTTTTTTTCTTTGTATCGTAATAATGTAATTATTTGATTATTTTCTAATTTATAATTTATAGTACTATTTTCACTAAGTCTCCCTATAAATCTTGTGCAAATTAATAAATTGTCTTCATCCATTTTCATTTGATATCATTTACTTTTTATTCCCACTCTTATTAATCCTAAATGAGTTCGTTGAAGATTTTTTTAACAATTTCTCTATGAGATTCTTTTTCTATTAAATATAGGGATATAAATTGATCTTCATGTGTACAAGAAACATATCTTTCCTCCATAATATTGATATATTAATTATTTGCTAAATATATTTCCCTTTTTATATATGTCTAAAGTTTTTACTAATTTTAATTTATTTTGTCTGAAAGTTTTTATCTATTCTTCTATGTTTATTAAGAACTCTAATCTTGCTTCGGATTCCATCTTTCTATTTAATTTCTTCAGTAAAGGAACTAACTACAATTAGTTTTCATTTATCCATTACGTCTAAATCCACTCAATCTTTCTAAATTTACTGG